TCCCCACTAGCTCAGGAGCCAGGCAGAAGGAGAAATCCCACACAAGACAGGCTCTAGAGCAATGTGGATATCCTAACTGGGCCTTCCTGAAAGCAGAGAAGAAACCCAAACAGGACTCCAGTCAGCCATCAGGTGAAAAGGAGGAACCCAGACCCAGACCAGTGGTCATTCCATATGTTGAGGGAGTATCAGAGAAACTGAGACGTTTATTTTCTAAACATAACGTCCCAGTGGCTTTTAAACCCCAAAATACATTACGGCAAAGACTGGTTCATCCCAAAGATCCAGTCCCCCGGCACAAACAGAGCAATGTTGTGTATGCTGTTCAGTGTCAGGAGGGTGATCAGTCTTACATCGGGGAAACTAAACAGCCACTGGCCAAAAGGATGGACCAGCACAGAAGATCAACATCATCAGGCCAGGACTCTGCGGTCTACACTCATCTCCAGTCCAGCGGTCACTCTTTCAGGGATGAAGATGTTAACAGCCTGGATAGAGAGGAACGATGGATTGAGAGAGGAGTAAAGGAGGCCATCTTTGTGAAAAGAAGTCGTCCATCATTAAACAGGGGTGGAGGCCTCCGTGTTCAACTGTCCCCCTCTTACAATGCTGTTATTGCTAGTATCACTCAGCCCTCTGTGAGTATTAAACAGCCATCAGTGTGTTAATGATCCATCTTTACGCTGATGGTCCTTCTTGATCATGTGAGCAGCTGGTTTTGGCTGTCGGCAGCAAAACTGGTTCATCCACTCTGAGAAGGTGCTGTTTATAAGACTGAGCTGAATACAGCACCTCAGACTGAGGAAGTCTTTTGGATGAAAGAATAAACGTTTCTACAAACCGGATTCCAAAAAAGTTGGGACACTAAACAAATTGTGAATAAAAACTGATTGCAATGATGTGGAGGTGCCAACATCTAATATTTTATTCAGAATAAAACACAAATCACAGATCAAAAGTTTAAACTGAGAGAATGTATCATTTTAAGGGAAAAATCTGTTGTTTCCAAATTTCTTGGCATCAACAAATCCCAATAAAGTTGGGACAAGTCCATTTTTACCACTGTGTGGCATCCCCCTTTCTTCTTACAACACTCAACAGATGTCTGGGGACAGAGGAGACCAGTTTCTCAAGTTTAGAAATAGGAATGCTCTCCCATTCATGTCTAATACAGGCCTCTAACTGTTAATCGTCTTGGGCCTTCTTTGTTGCACCTTCCTCTTTATGATGCGCCAAATGTTCTCTATAGGTGAAAGATCTGGACTGCAGGCTGGCCATTTCAGTACCCGGATCCTTCTCCTACATAGCCATGATGTTGTGATTGCTGCAGAATGTGTCTGGCATTATCGTGTTGAAAAATGCAGGGTCTTCCCTGAAAGAGATGACGTCTAGATGGGAGCATATGTTGTTCTAGAACCTGAACATAGTTCTCTGCATTAATGGTGCCTTTCCAGACATGCAAGCTGCCCATGCCACAAGCGCTCATGCAACCCCATACCATCAGTGATGCAGTCTTCTGAACCGAGAGTTGATAACAACTTGGGCTATCCTTGTCCTCTCTGGTCCGAATGACATGGCGTCCCAGTGTTCCATAAAGAACTTCAAATCGTGACTCATCTGACCACAGAACAGTCTTCCATTTTGCCACACTCCATTTTAAATGACCCCTGGCCCAGTGCAAACATCTGAGCTTGTGGAGCTTGCTTAGAAATGGCTTCCTCTTTACACTGTAGAGTTTCAGCTGGCAACGGCGGATGGCACGGTGGATTGTGTTCACTGACAATGCTTCCTGGAAGTATTCCTGAGCCCATTCTGTTATTTCCTTGACAGTGGCATTCCTGTTTGAGGTGCAGTGACGTTTAAAGGCCCTGAGATCACGAGTATCCAGTAAAGTTTTACGGCCTTGACCCTTACGCACAGCGATTGTTCCACATTCTCTGAATCCTTTGATGATGTTATGCATGGTTGATGATGATAACTTAAAAGTCTTTGCTATTTTAAGCTGGGTAACACCATTCTGGTATTGTTGCACTATCTTTCTGCGCAACAATGGTGGAATTGGTGATCCTCTTACCATCTTAGCTTCTGAGAGGCACTGACACTCTGAGAAGCTCTTTTTATACCCAATCATGTTGTCAATTGACCTAATTAGTGATAATTGGTCTTCCAGCTGTTCGTTATATGCTCAATTTCCTTTTTCCAGCCACCTATTGCTACTTGTTCCAATTTTTTTTGGATTTGTTGACATTGTGGAATTTTCAGTCAACATATTTTTCCTTTAAAATGTTACATTTACTCAGATTAAACTTTTGATCTGTCATCTATGTTACATTATGAATAAAATATTGACATTTGCCATCTCCACATCATTGCATTCAGTTTTTATTCACAATTTGTTTAGTGTCCCAACTTTTTTGGAATCCGGTTTGTACAATTTTTTTTTCTTTTGAATGTCCAGAGGACCAGATTTAACTTTTTTAGATTTTTCTGCCTGGAATATTGAACATGCATCAGGATGTCTAGTCTTCTCCATGCCAACCTCTCTCTTTCTACTTACCATCTTTTCAATGCCACTGACCGAGTGCACTGACGTGTTATGTCAGGGTGCGTCTGCAAAAATAAAAAAGAGCTGCAAGTGGAGGCAAAGTTGGCCCTGGGTGGAGGTGGAGCCGGCCATTGGAGGAGGTGGAGCCAGTCCTGGATGAAGGTGGAGTTGACCTGGGTGGAGGTGTAGTCAGCCTGGGTGGAGGTGGAGCCAGCCCTGAGTGGAGGCAGGGTCGCCCTGGGTGGAGGCGGGGTGGCCCTACTTCAGCGGTTGCAGCGATAACCCCAGGGAGCGCCGGTTCTGTGGCCCATGCATCAGACCGGCCCACTGGGAAATGTCCCAGTCCTCCCTACTAGCTACTTAAGTCCTGGTGTGATGTCATGGCAGCGTACAAACCTGATTTTTTTTTTTCATTTACCTTTTATTTATACAGGTAGTCTCATTTAGCCACGAGAACTCATTTTCAAGAGAGACCTGTTTAGGGAGCAGATGGTGGGTTAAGGGCTTAGCTCATGGGCCCAGAGTGGGGCGAATGAGGATGGGGCAAGTGTGGGTGCTTCACCTACCCCACCCACAATTTTGATGTTGTCAAGGCCGGGGCGTGAACCAGCAATCTTTGGATCACAGGCCCACCTCTCTAACCCCTGCGCCACCGGGAGTGGTACACTTACCACTTCTGCCAGGAGGAAGAGGATAAACATTCAAACTGCTGGGACTTGTATTAAGCTGACAGTAGGTAAAAAAAAAAAAAAAATGTTGAAAATCCTAACAGACAGGAAACAGGAAAAAGTTAGTCTGATTTCATTTCAGACAGAGAAGAAGAAGTCTTTAGAGCCCAGTTTTAGCCAGTTTTAAAATGCACTATTGATCTGTTTTCAGGGTCTGAGTGTAAAGGAGCAGCTCCACAGCATCTGTACCTACAGTAACCACACAAACCTCAGGGAATTCTTGGTGAGTCATTTCACAGTAACTATCTAAGTAACTGTTTTTGGAATACAAACTAAGGTTTTAACTTTTTTCCAACTCATCATGTATTCAACACATAGTTCAGGGTTCTATAAATAATCAAGGCCAGCATCTTGAGCAGGAGGTCCAGACCTCTCTTTCCACAGCCACCTCTTCTAGATTTTTGGGAGGACTCCAGACCAGCTGGGAGACGTAGTCTCTCCAGCATGTCCTGAATCTTCCCTGGGGTCTCCTCCTAGTTGGACTGGAGCACCTCCATAGGGAGGCGTCCAGGATCCAACCTTACCAGATGTCTGAATCTCCTCAACTGGCTCTTCTGGCTGTGGAGAAGCAGCGGTTCTACTTTGAGTCTCTCCTGGACAACTAAAAAAAAACGTTCAATACAAAAACAACTGGACTTTATTTGTAACAGAAGATGTTTCGCTCCTCATCCGAGGAGCTTTCTCAATTCAAAGAGCAGTGAAGTGAGGGATTCAGGTTATAAAGCTGACTGAGATAAGACACACACACATATGTAGATTAGCAATTCACACCTAAACACCTTAACAGTAAGAGTCTTTTGATACTCTAATTCACAGACGAGGCCCCTCTGTTCCCATCAGGTGTGAAAACCGGCTGGGAATCTGTTTTAAAGTTGCATTATATGTTTTAGGAAGTGGGAATCTGAGGCCGCCTCCTCTGTTAAGAGACGGCTTTTCTCTTTTTACATAAATTGCTTCCTTCACCCCCCTCCCAAACCATCTGTGTTCTCGGTCCAAAAAGTGCACATTTTGGTCCTCAAAAGAGTGTCCCTTATCTGTGAGGTGGAGGGGAACAGCTGAATCTTGTCCTGTGGAGCTGGGTCTCCTGTGTTGAGCCATGCGTCTGTGAAGAAGCTGTTTAGTTTCTCCAATGTAGAGGTCTGGACAGTCCTCGCTGCACTGGACCGCATACACTACACCACTCTGTTTGTGTATGGGTGTTTTGTCCTTAGGGTGGACCAGCCTCTGTCTGAGAGTCCTGCTGGGTTTGAAATGTACTGGGAT